AAGAAAAATGAAAAAAAAAGAAGAGAAATTGAGGGGGAAAAAAGAAAACAAAAAGAAAAAAAAGAAAAAAAGAAAAACAGAGGAAGAAAAAAGAAAATCAATGGGGAAAGTCAGCTGCCCGGCGTTTAGAACTGTGTGACAGAAAAAAGGAAAAAAAAAAAAAAAAGAAACAAAAGAAGAAAAATGGGGGGAGAGAAAAAAAAAAAGAGAAAAAAAAAGAAAAAAAATGGAAAAAATAAAAACAGGAAGAAAAGAGAAAAAAGGAAAAAAAAATGGGGAAAATCAGCTCCCTGGCATTTAGAACTGTGTCAGAAGGAGAGAGAAAAAAAAAGAGAATAAGTAAAAAAAAAAGAAGATAGAATGGTGAGATTCAGAGAAAGGTGGGAGAAATGGGATAAGTTCAAAGTGGAATGTAAAGAAGGATAGGGAGGGGATAAGAAAGGAAGAAAGACAAGGGTGCCTTGAGAGTGAAGAGTAAAGAAGCGGAGCGAAGAGATGAGGGAAAATTAGGGAGCAGAGGGGGGCAAGGGGGTGGGAGTGGGTGGATGGGGTTCTCTTTTTATAGAGGTATAAGGGAATTGTGTATTGTTGAATATTTTGACATTTTTAACGATGTAATGTGATCCATTGAAAATTAATAAAGCACATGTAAGCCTAAAAAAAATATGTAATCTAAAAAAACAAACAAAAAAAAAAAAAAAACTGTGTGTCAAAAGGAGAGAGAAAAAAAAAGGGGAAAAAAAAGAAAAAAGGAGAAAAAAAAGAGAGAAAATAAAAACGGAGGAAGAAAAGAGAAAAAAAGGGATATAATAAAAACGGAGAAAGAAAAGAAAAAAAAAAAGAAAGAAAAGAAAATAGAAAAAAAGGAGAAAAAAAAAAGAGAAAAAAGGAGAAAAAAAAGAAAAAAAAGGAGAAAAAAAAAGAGAAAAAAAAGGAGAAAAAAAAGAGAAAAAAGGTGAGAAAAAAGGGGAGGGGGAGAAGAAAAAAAAATGGAGGAATAAAAGAGAAAAAAAAAGGAGACAAAAATAAGAAAAAAGGAAAAAAAAAGAGGAAAAAGAAGGGGGAAAAAAAAAGAAAGGAGAGAGAAGAGAAACAGGAAAAAAGTGAAAGAAGGAAATAGCAGGGAGAAGGAGAAAAAGACAAAAAAGAGAGAGAATTTAAAAAAAAAAAAAAAAGAGAAAGAATGGAAGCTATGCGGGCAGGCCAGGATGACACACTGAAAGTGTAAGTCCTCCTTACACTGGACCCAACCCCCCCTCCCATGCTGTACCGGTATACGTGATTCCCCTGCTGTCAGGCACCAGGAACTCCCCCCTGGCTCTCTCTCCTTTCAGCATTGACAGGACAGACTAGACATAATCATCCGCAAAAGTGGCAAACTTATGTTCTATATTTCCTATACATATTCCCTTTATGTCTGGATTTCTTCTTATTGTTGACAACAGTGATTCCAAGGACAAAACATACAACAATGGGGACAGCGGGCAACCCTGTCTTGTTCCATTTGTCATCCCAAATGACTCCGACATCTCCCATTTACCATAACCACTGCGAAGGGTCTCCTGTACAACTTTCCTATCCATGCTCTCATGCCTAAGCCTTTGAGATCTAGAAAAGATTGGAATTTGTTTGAGAGGTTGTTGGAATCACGGGGAGATGGGAAACATGGTATGGCCAAAATATATAAAATTCTCACAGAGTTAGACATAGGGGAAAGAAAACTAAGGTTTATAGAAAAATGGGAAAGAGATTTGGAGGTGGAGGAGGTTAAACAGAAAAAAATATTTAGATTGGTTCACGAGAATGTAAGTACACGCGAGGTGGAAATGAATTATAAATGTTTGATGAGAGGGTATATATTACACGGAGTATAGAGCACAAGATGTGTGGGGAGAAATCACCTTTCTGTTGTCGGGGATGTGGAGAGATTGGCACAATGTATCACATATGGTGGAAATGTCCAAAAATACAAGTATTCTGGAGAAACGTAGTACATCAACTTAGAACGATTACAGAAATAGATATTAGCTTGGACTCTGGAATATGACTTTTACATAATACAGAATTATCAGTAAACAAATATAAAGAAACAGGTATATTGTACTTTGTAAATGCAGCTAAAAGTCTGATACCAAAGTAGAAGCTCCAAAAGAGGACTGGATAGATAGAGTGGACCAGATTGGTAGAATGGAGAAATTATATTATATACAAGAAGATAGGTTGGAGACATAATATGCAAAATGGAATAAATGGGAAGAGTTTAGATCGAAGGTGAATAGATGAAGAAGGGTTTCTCTTTTTTTATGCCCCTTTGAAATAAGAACACTTTTCGGGTCTCTTTTTTTTTTTTTTTTTTTCTCTTAGAGTGGAAGATGAAGAGAGGTGCAGGATGGATGGATGGTGGGAGGGAGGGAGGGGGGGGGGAGGAAAGGATGATTTTGCTAGCCGGGGGGATTGGAGAAACAAGGAAATATGGGAAATGATTGTTATACGTTTTGTTTTTAAGAGAATGTAAAGAATTTGTGCTGTGGTTTTTATCTTTCCTAATACTTTGAAAACTAATAAACATTTAAATAAAAAAAAAAAAACATGTTCAGGATGCATTTTGGCATAAGCGCTTTTGACGCGTTCCGGTTCATTTAACTCCTCCCACCAATGATGGAGGATCATTTTTTCCATGGATATCAATGATGAGCTACTATTCCTCCCACTGATACCAATGATGGGGCATAACTCCTCCCACTGATACCAATGATGGGGCACTATTCCTCCCACTGATACCAATGATGGGGCACTATTCCTCCCACTGATACCAATGATGGGGCATAACTCCTCCCACTGATACCAATGATGGGGCACTATTCCTCCCACTGATACCAATGATGGGGCACTATTCCTCCCACTGATACCAATGATGGGGCACTATTCCTCCCACTAATACCAATGATGGGGCACTATTCCTCCCACTAATACCAATGATGGGGCACTATTCCTCCCACTGACACCAATGATGGGGCACTATTCCTCCCACTGACACCAATGATGGGGCACTATTCCTCCCACTGATAACAATGATGGGGCACTATTCCTCCCACTGATACCAATGATGGGGCACTAACTCCTCCCACTGATACCAATGATGGAGCATAACTCCTCCCACTGACACCAAAGATGTGACACTATTCCTCCCACTAATACCAATGATGGGGCACTATTCCTCCCACTGATACCAATGATGGAGCATAACTCCTCCCACTGATACCAATGATGGGGCACTATTCCTCCCACTGATACCAATGATGGGGCATAACTCCTCCCACTGATAACAATGATGGGGCATAACTCCTCCCACTGATACCAATGATGGGGCATAACTCCTCCCACTGATACCAATGATGGGGCACTATTCCTCCCATTGACACCAACAATGGGGCAGAATTCCTGTTGCTGACATCAACAATAAGGGCACTATTTCTCCCACTGACACCAATGATGGAGCAAAGCTCCTCCCACTGATACCAATGATGGGGCATAACCCCTCCCACTGAAGGGCATAACTCCTCCCACTGATACCAATGATGGGGCATAACTCCTCCCAATGATACCAATATTGGGGCATAACTCCTCCCACTGAAACCAATGATGGGGGAAAAATTTCTTCCATTGATAAAAGGATGGGACACTATTCCTCATACTGACACCAATGGAAGGGTCATTTGATATCAACAATTGGGAAGAATTCGTTGCTGACAATAGGGGCACCGTTTGATATCAATTGATGCCAACATGGGCATTATTTCTCCCACTGGGGGCAGAATTCCTGGGGGCAGAATTCCTGTTGCTGACAAATAGGGGCACTATTCCTCCCACTGACACCAATGATGGGGGATAATTTCTTCCATTGATGCCAACGATGGGCATCTATTTCTCCCACTGACACCAATGAAAGGGCATAGTTTCTCCCACTTACATCAACAATGGGGGCAGAATTCCTGTTGCTGACACCAATGATGGGGCACAGTTCCTCCCACTGACACCAATGATGGGGGATAATTTCTTCCATTGATACCAATGATGGGACACTATTCCTCCCACTGACACCAACGAAAGGGCACTATTCCTGCCACTGACACCAATGAAAGGGCACTATTCCTCCCATTGACACCAACAATTTAGCAGAATTCCTGTTGCTGACATCAACAATAGGGGCACTATTCCTCCCACTGACACCAATGATGGGGAATCATTTCTTCCATTGATACCAATGATGGGCTACTATTCCTCCCACTGACACCAATGATGGGGAATAATTTCTTCCATTGATACCAATGATGGGCTACGATTCCTCCCACTGTCACCAATGAAAGGGCACAGTTCCTCTCACTGACATCAACAAAGGGGCAGAATTCCTGCTACTGACACCAATGATGGGGCAATATTTCTCCCAATGACACCAAAGACAAGGCATTGTTTACTTCCAATGGACACCATATCATTTTCTACTACCACTGGCCCTAGTCTCCTAAAAACTGAAGGGCTGTAAGCTGGCTCTTTATTTAGGCCACTACTCATCCCAATGAAACCTATGAAAGAGTACAGTTCCTTCCACTGACACCAATGATGGGGCAGAATTCCTTCCACCGACACCAATGATGGGGCAGAATTCCTTCCACCGACACCAATGATGGGGCAGAATTCCTTCCACCGACACCAATGATGGGGCAGAATTCCTTCCACTGACACCAATGATGGGGCACTATTCCTCCCAATGACACCAAAGACAGAGCATTATTTACACACAATGGACACCAGGTCATTTTCCACTGGCCCTAGTCCAACACCCCCTCTAAAATCTGGAGGACAGTAAACTGGCCCTTTCTTTAGACAGTCTGGAGACCCCTGGGCTAGAAACTTGAACTGACAATTTTTTATTTATTTCTTTTTAATGAATTACATAACTCTAATAAATTATTCTATATATTATTTCCTGGAGTTCAGCTTCACGGTATGACCACCGTTTGGATCATCTGATACGAGAGAAGGTGCGCCCTCTTGTGAATTCGAAGATGTGCATTCAGATTGGATTTCCTGTTAAAACGTTTCCCGCACTCGTGACAGCAGTACGGCAGGTCCCCGGTGTGAATGATCTCGTGGGCAGCCAGATTCGATTTCAAGGCAAAACATTTCCCGCACACGGAACATGAATATGGCTTCTCTCCCGTGTGAAGCCTCTCGTGTCTGGTCAAGGAGGACTTGTGAAAGAAGCATTCCCCGCACTTGGAACATTTGTAGGGGTATTTCCCCGTGTGAATCTGTTCATGTCGGATAAGGTACGACTTTATCGGGTAACTTTTGCCGCATTCGGAACAAATGAACGGCTTTTCCGCCGAGTGAGTCTTCTGATGGGCAGCAAAATTGGACACTTTGGCAAAGCTTTTCCCGCATTCAGAGCAGGAATAAGGCCTCTCCCCTGTGTGAGTTCTCTGGTGTTCAATGAGGTGGATCCTCTGAGTAAAACATTTCCCGCACTCCGTACACGAGAACGGCTTCTTTCCCGTGTGACACATCTGATGCGAGATGAGATGGCCTTTCTTGGAAAAACATTTCCCACAGTCAGAACAGGAGTATGGCTTCTCCCCTGCGTGACCTCTCCTGTGTGCACCACCCTCTGCTCCTTGGCCAGAGGACTTGCCGCGCCTGTGGGTGGTGCGGGGAGCGGGACCGGGAGAGAACGTCCTTCGTGTGTAGATGGGTCGTCTGAAGTCAGAGTTTCATCTGTGTACCTCCTGTATCGTCCATCTGGTGGAAAGAAGAAATGTCATTAAAGTGTTCCAAAACCCATAGTGAATGCAGGGTCCGGGGAGAGCGGATATAGTGAATGCAGGGTCCGGGGAGAGCGGATATAGTGAATGCAGGGTCATGAGAGACCGGATATGATGAATGCAGGGTCCGGGAGAGCGGATATAGTGAATGCAGGGTCCGGGGAGAGCGGATATAGTGAATGCAGGGTCCGGGGAGAGCGGATATAGTGAATGCAGGGTCCAGGGAGAGCGGATATAGTGAATGCAGGGTCCGGGGAGAGCGGATATAGTGAATGCAGGGTCATGAGAGACCAGATATGGTGAATGCAGGGTCCGGGGAGAGCGGATATAGTGAATGCAGGGTCCGGGGAGAGCGGATATAGTGAATGCAGGGTCCGGGGAGAGCGGATATAGTGAATGCAGGGTCCGGGGAGAGCGGATATAGTGAATGCAGGGTCCGGGGAGAGCGGATATAGTGAATGCAGGGTCCGGGGAGAGCGGATATAGTGAATGCAGGGTCATGGGAGAGCGGATATGGTGAATGCAGGGTCCGGGGAGAGCGGATATATAGTGAATGCAGGGTCCAGGGAGAGACGGATATAGTGAATGCAGGGTCCGGGGAGAGCGGATATAGTGAATGCAGGGTCCAGGGAGAGCGGATAGTGAATGCAGGGTCCGGGGATGGGCAGGGTCCGGGGAGGCGGATGGGTGGTGGTGGATATAGTAAATGCTGGGTCCGGGGTTTAGTAACACTAAGCTTTGACAAAGAAAAAAAAACTGGAAGCTGATTGGCTACCATGCTCAGCTGCATCAGATTTTGAACTCTTCACTAAATCAACCCTATGGCCTGTAAGTCGCCAGTCACACCGCTGCAAATTATAATCGCGTGATTTGTGTGCAATGTCAGGTGCGATTTCTGAAGACTTTATTGCTACTTGTGAAGATTTTCAACCATGTCTTGTAATTTGCCGCGTGATTTCCATTATATACTATGTATGTGAAATCGCAGCAAAACTGCGTAAAAAGTAATGCAAGAGCTATTTTAGAAATCGCGCTGCAGCAAATCGCACGTTAAGACACCGACATTCACATTCATTAGATGCGATTTCAAATCGCAAATTGAACCTGAATCCGCACCGGGCACTCATACTTTATACTGAAAATATACACTCACTGGCCACTTTATTAGGTCCACCTGTTCAATTGTTGGTAACACAAATTGCTAATCAGCCAATCACATGGCAGCAACTCAATGCATTTAGGCATCTAGACATGGTGAAGACAACTTGCTGAAGCTCAAACAGAGCATCAGAATGGGAAAGAAAGGGGATTTAAGTGACTGAACATGGGACAGAGTTGGGATGGCAATACGGGCAAGACAGCTTTTGATTGTTCAGCAGCCTCGGGATGGCAGTATGGGCAAGACGGCTTCTGATTGGTCAGCAGTGTCGGGATGGCAGTATGGGCAAGACGGCTTCTGATTGGTCAGCAGTGTCGGGATGGCAGTACGGGCAAGATGGCTTCTGATTGGTCAGCAGTGTCGGGATGGCAGTATGGGCAAGACGGCTTCTGATTGGTCAGCAGTGTCGGGATGGCAGTACTGGCAAGACGGCTTCTGATTCGTCAGCAGTGTCGGGATGGCAGTACTGGCAAGACGGCTTCTGATTCGTCAGCAGTGTTGGGATGGCAGTACTGGCAAGACGGCTTCTGATAGGTCAGCAGCGTCGGGATGGCAGTACGGGCAAGATGGCTCTTGATTGGTCAGCACCGTTGGGATGGCAGCATGGGCAAGACAGCTTCTGATTGGTCAGCAGCGTTGGGATGGCAGTACAGGCAAGACAGCTTCTGATTGGTCAGCAGCCTCGGGATGGCAGTATGGGCAAGACGGCTTCTGATTGGTCAGCAGCGGAGGGATGGCAGCACGAGCAAGGCGGCTACTGATTGGTCAGCAGCGGAGGGATGGCAGTACGGGCAAGACGGCTTTTGATTGGTCAGCAGTGTCAGGATGGCAGCACGGGCAAAACAGCTTCTGATTGGTCAGCAGAGTTGGGATGGCAGTACGGGCAAGTCAGCTTCTGATTGGTCAGCAGCGTTGGGATGGCAGTATGGGCAAGACGGCTTTTGATTGTTTAGTAGCCTCGGGATGGTAGTATGGGCAAGATGGCTTCTGATTGGTCATCAGCGGAGGGATGGCAGTACGTGCATGACGGCTTTTGATTGGTCAGCACTATGATGGAGCTGACCAATCATAAACCATCTAGCCCGTACTGTCATCCCTGCATGGAGAGTAGAGAAATCCCCGGCTTTTCCTTCTGTGACAGCATGGGAATCGGCGCAGGGAGGTTTCCCCACACCGCTCCTGTGTGAGCTCACTGCAAAGAATGGCATGCAATTTCAACAGGAATGAGGTGCGATTCCTGCCTGAACTTTTTTTTTTTTTATGGTTGAACTGGATGGACTCTTGTCTTTTTTTCTGTCAGACTGACTATGTAAGATGTCAGGCAAGCCGCACATGAAATCGCACTGATCTACGGCTGTAAAATCACGCTACTCTACATTTCAAAGCCGCATTTGTAGTGAACCCCAGGCTAAAGGAGATGCTGCTGCAACAAGAAAAGTACGAGACTCATTTCTAATCCCAGTGTTTACTCACCCATGTCGATCACAAGGGGAATTTCCTCCTCAGCTCTGGTGTCTCCAGGATCTGTGAATAAAGATGAGAGTGAAGCCCCCTGTACTGAGATGTAGACCCCAGAGAAGGTGTGTGTGGGAGGAGACTGGTCACGACTCAATGACATGATGTGAAAAGAGTCAAAGGCAGTTTTTATCATGCAATAGTGCAGCGCTCAAAACTAATGTAAATGACAAAAAAAAACACATACAGCTGATAAATACTAGTGCCAACCCTTATTCAAAAATACGAAATTTAAGTGCCACTTATATATAAAATAGTGCAGCGCTCAAAACTAAATGCAAATGCCAAGGAAAAAAAAAACAAAAACATACAACAGTGATAAATATTAGTGCCAACCCTTAATCAAAAAATAAGAAATTGGAGTGCCAAAACCATGACCATAAATACATTGTGCATAAATTAATGAGTATTGCTTCAAGAAAATGTCCAATAAGGAAAAAAAAAACTCTAACAGTGCTCACACAGTGCCACACAAAATAAAAACCACATAAGTGTTAAAATCAAGAACAATGTCCTATTAGTGAAAAAAATATTTATATTCATGCGATGTGCATCTGTGATGATGGATAAAACTGTGACTGTGTCCAAAAATCCTTCCGTGTATGGCTAAAATGCCTCCTCACCTCCTCCTACTGACCCCGAAGGGCCAACAGGCATGCAGGATCACCTGGATCCTTAAATTGTAAAGGCCAGCAGCTTCCTTTCTTTCTTGGATCTCCTCAGCAGGATTCCACAGAGCCCCCAGTCAGTCAGGGCAGTCCTGGGGAGTAGTAGCTCACCAAACCGGTGGGCCAAAAAGAAACTCTCTAAGTGTAGTATTAAATTACTTGTGTTTATTTCCAAAGAGTAAAAAAAGGGGTTACACTCACATTGCAGACATTCTCCCTCCTCACTGATGTGTGGGTGTACTGCATGCGAATGGGACCTCTCGGGTGTAGCAAGATGGCGTCTCACGCCGGAAAATGCGTCACCACGCACCAGAACTACGGACTCGCGTACCTACGCGTTACGTCACCGTCTACTCGTGACTTCATCTGGGTAATACCCTACGAGCGTTGTTCCTCCCTTTATATGGACCCAAATGTAATAGCATCGCTGGAGGCCCGCCTCTCATACACTCCACAGTACCCACGCCATTTTCCCGACTACCTCTCACATTAACAACGGCGGCCATTTTCCCGTCTCCCTCCTATCGCCTAGCCTGCCGCATACTACAACATAAAATCAATGGGAGAATCTCCTAACAGGAGACTATTATAGGGGGACTGAATGCTAAATACTGCTGAATAATATTATACATAAATAAATATTCCATCCGCATCACTAGGGGAAAAACAAACTAGAGGGATAACCTTTAATTAAAAACGATACATGAATAATCAATCTCTCTGGGGAATGTATTAAAATGATACCCATAAATAAAAAATTATTTTAAAAAATTATTTTAAAAAACACTAGAGAAAAAATAAAATATATATATATCAACAATATATATACACATATGAGAAATGTATATATTAAAAAACATATATACATAAAAAACTTTATATAAAATACACCATAATGCCCTACGTCATACAATCTACCCACATTTACATAATAATTAAAAAAATATAAAATGCTATCAAAACATAGAATAACTATTAGAATCTAAACATGATTGATGATATTGAGAAATATTATCACAATAAATACTACTAATAGTAACAACTCACTAGGATATAGTGTATAACTATCCTTCACATATTAATCCTCTAATTATCCTTAATGTGTGCAAACAAGGAGTAAAAAACAACCTCTCAGTAATCACTAATAAAGCTATTCAAATCAAACTCTACGTTTAGCCCTTTGGGGACTTGTGTATTCATAGAATAAATCCACCTAGACTCCGCCTGGCTAAGGGATTTAATTTTGTTAGACCCCCTCCAGTGTTTTTTATACCTTTCAATCCCCCAAAATTTCATTTTACTGGGATCTTTATTATGGCATAGTGCAAAATGTCTCGAAACACTGTGTGTTTTGGAAATCCTTTGTTAATATTCTGGACGTGCTCCCGTAGCCTTTTCCATAG